GAGAATAGCTGCAATGAAATTACATCACCAAGATTAAAACAACTTTGTCTATTTTAAACTACATCAATACCATCGGAAATTGAATTTTTCTTTTCTTGCTCTATTTCAATTTCCTTAACATTTTATTTTTCAATTAGACCACATAGATAAGTTTAGTTGAAATTTTTCAAGAGAACTTTCGTTGTATAAGATGCAATCACGTAGTATGAGTTTTTAAATTTCTTTATTTTCATCCTAAAACTTATCAATATACGAACTGAATATGAAAATAAATTGATGTTAGTCGTCTGTCTATGTGAATTATAACAATAACAAAAGATGTATTCTACTTTGCTAATTACTCTTGTTTTGTACTTAGAATATTTCATCTCTATAAAACAGAGCTCGAAACTGAATCATATCGGCTCGGTTCGAACTGTGATAAAAATATCTGCTTTTCTCATACATTCTACTGACAAGATTATCATAAATGGAGCTAGACGGATAGGTAAATTTCATTTGACCACTGACAGATAAGTGATTGTGAACTTGAGTCAAACAATTCATGCTTTTGACAAATATCTTTCCAAGCTTTAAGTCAAGCGAAACTATAGGAATCGAATTTATTCATTCTTAATAGTAAGCTAGTTTTTTAGGGTTCTCAAATCATTTGTATCTGTATATAAAGCATAGAAAAATCTTTCTATTGCATGATCAAGGCAATCGATTCTTCTCTAAGACTCACTTGAGGAACTTTCCGTATCAAAATTAATAATAACTTCCACTCTTATTCGCCGTCCTTCAATATGGAAAAAGTCGTGTTTTCATGATAAGGTAATTTTAAGCAATATCAATATTATCATCAATAGATACTCTTTAAAATACCTAACATCGTGAACTAAAAGTAATTGATGAACAAAATACAGCAATGATGTTTAACATTTGATTTCTAAATGAGGAGTAGTTTGGTACAGTTATTGTTCAACGATCTGCGTAGAACTGGCCCTTGTCTAACACGAATATTCAGTTTTCAACGACAAAAATCTCTTTTCTTACTCTGGTTGAAAGTTGACCATAACGATCATTCTCTAATTCATTATAGTTGCTCCCCACGAAAGACATTGGCAACGTTGGAAAATAGTCGTTTGTGTAATAATCTTATGAATTTCAACTCGAAGATAAGAATTTCAAAGATTAAATTTGAGAGTAAAATAAAGGAATAATGGATAGTTGTCCGATAAAATTGCAATGAATGACTTTGAATTCCACACCATATTCTAAAACAAAACCATCGTTGTTGATAAAGTTGAGAATTCGATTAAAAAGCATTTCTCGTCTTGCAGCAATTTCGATTTCTATGAAGAGAAACCTTCTCTCTCTTAATTTATAATTTTTCTTGTGTCTATTTTAGACTATCCATTACGTTCTCCATCCAGCACCAACATTCATCCGAATGCTCGATGGCAACAAAATGGTATCACTGTAGCTGGAGGAAATCGACAAGGCAATGGAATCAATCAACTCTCAAACCCATATGGTTTGTATGTTGATGATGATCAAACAATCTATGTTGCTGATAGCTCGAATCATCGTATTGTGGAATGGAAACGAGGTGCAACAAGTGGCCAAGTGGTTGCCGGTGGAAATGGACAAGGAAGTGGAGATCATCAATTGGATAACCCAAGAGATGTGATTATCGACAAAGAGAGAGATAGTCTCATCATATGCGATTATTCGAATAGAAGAGTGGTTCGATGGCCTCGTCGAAATGGGACAAGTGGAGAAACAATCATCTCCAACATCGATTGTAGGGGTTTGACAATGGACGAGAATGGATCTCTCTATGTCACTGATGATGTAAAAAATGAAGTGAGACGATATCGAAGAGGAGAATCTCAAGGAACAGTGGTTGCAGGTGGCAATGGAAGTGGAAATCGTCTCGATCAACTCTCTTACCCACAATACGTATTCGTCAATCGAGATCATTCAGTGTACGTATCTGATGGGAACAATCATCGTGTGATGAAATGGATGGAAGGTGCAAAACAAGGCATTGTCGTGGCTGCTGGTCAAGGACAAGGAAATGGTCTTACACAATTGTCATATTCTCAAGGAGTCGTTGTCGATCAATTGG